CATAATCTCAAATGGAGTGTTTGTACCTCTCTGCCCTACCAGTTCAACCCTCCTGCCAGCCTCCCTGGAAAGGTATAATGGGTGGCCTGTGCATTTTTATGGGGTCTGGGGTCTGACTTCCAAACTCCACGGCTGCCTTGCAGTGGATGGGAGCACCATGTTCTTTTGCCACAGGTTGCAGAGTCCCTCCAGAAGCCACATCTGGAGAACCTCGTGTGACTGTGGTGTGACTTCTCTGTGTGTAAACAAGTAGGCAAACTTCACTCCTTTTTATGGTATTTTCTTGGCTTTGTCATGCCAGGAATTGAACATGAGGATACCTATCTCTTGACACAGCACACAGAGCTTTGTTCACAGCCATGCTGCTGGTGCTGGTAACGTGGGTAAATCTGTGGCATTGGGAAAACCAATCTGAGTTGATGTTTTGACAGCAGATTCTCTGTGTGTTTTGCCAAGGAAGGAAGGGAGTCCTAGGGAGATAGGAATTAAAACTCAATTTCCAGGGCTATTTGATACATATTTCTCTTCTGCTCTGGCAGCCAGGAGTTTTGAAGGAGTCATCAGGGCCCCATTTAAGGGCAATACTCATGCGAAAGCAGAGTTATAGTTTTATGTCACTGCTTCTCCCAAACTGCAGAGTGGGAATGGGCTTGGAGAAAAGTGTGTCAGGCTGCTCCAGAATAAAGTGTGTCAGAGTGCTCCAGCTAACAAAATGAACCTTTGGTTCCATGAATAACTGTAGACTTTGATCCTTCTCCTGAGTTCACTCATCTTGGGAGGTCATTTATTTAGGACTTGATTTCCAACCAGCTGTAGGAGTATGGGCCGAAGTGACCTCCTCCACCTCTCTTCTACTGCAGCAGAAAGCTGAAAGGGTGGCACAAACCCCTTCAATCCACCTGCTTAGGAGGGCTCTCATCTCTTACTGTGAGCATGCAAAGCCTCTTTTTACAACCCAGAGTTGTATCTTGTTAAATTGCAGGACCACAGAATTGCAGCTTGGATAAAGCCACATTTTCTACCGTAATTTTGTGCCTTTTGCACAAGCATTTACTTCTCCTGTAATGACTGTGTTGTGTTGCAGATCAGCTCTTTCTTGCAACAGTCAAAGCATTGTAGGGGAGTTGGGAGCATATGTACTGATTAAGTGAAGCAGCATGTGCTATCCACATGAAGATGTCACTATGCTGGGTATAGATGTGCTCTGTGCAGAGGTTGATTAGCCTGGTGTGGCAGTGGCACCACAACCCATGCAGGTGCCAACCTCCTCCATACTACGGGAAACACACTGCAGCTCCTGCATCACTGCAAAGGTGCTGGCACAGCAGGATTTTTTTAGGTTCCCTCCTGGAGAGAGCAATAGCAGTATGGAGAAAAATCTCACATGGCGTTGAGGCTTCTGCTTCATTTCAGGCCCAGCCTGTGATGCATTTAATTTTTTCTTAGTTTGTTTAAAAAAAAGTAATAAAAATTGAAAATAAAGCTTATTTTGTCCATATACTGGCGATTTGCTCTTGTTCTCCTGTTTGACCAAGTCTGCAGCCTGTTCTGTTTTCAATGTTCTTTTTTCCAGTACTTGGAAGACTGCAAAGCTACTTTCTCTACTGGCGTGTGGGATGCTTGTGTGCTTCTCTCCTATGATTGCTTGGAGATACTGTATCTCAGCACTTGAATTCAGGAAGAATGTGATTAAAAAAGAAAAAAAAGATTTCTGTGAGAAGCAAACTCACAGTGTTTGCAATAAAAGGAGTCGAAGGCATCTGTCAGGGTGAACAAATGCAGAGGACGAGTGGTAAAGGCTCCCGTGCTGCCCACCCGCTGATGTTGAAGCTGATCCTGTCCTTCCGCAGCACCTTCCTGTCCGAGGGAGCGGGACGGGTTCCTGCAACTTCCCCGTACACGCTGCGCATCTCCGTGTCAGCTGTCCCCGCACCTGCGGAGTGCCGGGAAAAAAAAAAAAAAATCTAGCAGGGTGTTTTTATTTAATTAATTAAATTTCGGGGTACGCCGAGGCACGCTGCGGCGTTGCCGGCGGCGCGATGCAGAGCAGTGCAGTGCGGTGCCGGCGGTGCAGTGCAGCGAGATGCGGGCCAGCGGTGCGGTGCCGGCGGCATGGTGAGATGCAGTGCAATGCCGGCGGAGCGGTGCGGTGCCTGCGGAGCCATGCGGTGCCAGCGGAGAGGTGCGGTGCCGGCGGTGCGGTGCCGGTCGAGCAGTGGGGCGCCGATGGAGCTGTGCGGTGCCGATGGAGTGGTGCGGTGAGATGCAGTGCAGTGCCGGTGGAGCGATGCGGTGCCGGTGGAGAAGTGCGGTGCCGGTGGAGCGGTGCGGTGCGGTGGCAGTGGAGCGATGCGGTGCCGAT